TGCTTCCACGCGCGGACCAGAGTTAGGGAAGGCTCCGGACGTGTCTGACGGACTCAGCGGACGGGTCAACAGTCTGTGGCCTCGAGGAGGGATGGGAAGTGAGGACTTGGGGGGAAAACAGGGTGAAAAGAAATCCAAGAAGCAGAACAACTCTTCAAACCGATGAGCACCGAGACAGGGCGGGAAGCGGGATGTGCCATCTCTGTCCCATAATCCATCTTCAATATGAAGATGCGTTGCTGCCTCGCCGCTCCAGGACACGGGACGAAAAGCTGGGCTCCCTCTCGGCACCAGTGCCTCTGATCCAGGGAAGGGCGGCCCGTCTCGTCCCGCCCCGTCCCGTCCCAGGCGACCGTCCGAGGCAGAGGAGCGCCGTGTGAAGGGGGAAACGGGAAGCCGGGCTGCACCACAAACTGAACCTGGTTGGCAGGTTCCCTCGGTCCGTTCCAATGCAGAGTCCACTGCGGTCAAACCTGCACCGGGAGCGTCTGGTTCATCTGCAGCCTCATGTCCTGAATGCTGCTCAGGATCTTCTTCTGGTGCCCTGCTAGCGTCACCCCTATCCTCAGCAGGTCTCTGCAAGGAGAAGATGAAGACTTGGTCCCCTGCCAGCAGCAATACCAGCACATGGCCCTGCCTCATCTAGCTGCTGCCAAGGGACCCATCCATTTTCATTATAGCCCTCTCCCAAGCTCCAGTGTCCTTCTAACACCACAGGGGACTGGATGCTGAATCCCAGACCTTAACTCACTTGGGAAAACCCCGTGCACAACTCAGCCCTCCACATGCTCAGGTGGGAGGAGCTGGCTGCCAGAGAGGCGAGGGACAAGGGACAATGTGCAGCAGCCCCAGTCCCAGCCTTCTCCCTCCTCCACAAGCGGGGACTTACTCCGCAGTCATCTGCGCCACCAGGTCGAAGGAGGCAAAGCCGGCATTGACAAAATTCTCCTTGTATCGTCCCATTTTGATGGCATCCAGCCAGTCTCCCACGGTGGTGAAGGTGGTATAATCCGGGACGGTGCGGTCCAGGAGCGGCTGGGAGATGCTAAAGGGCAAGAGAGCCACAGGTCACAGGGAGCAGGGGACAGAGAGGTGTAACTGGAAGTGGGGGATATTTCTTATCGCTGCCCTCCCACACCTCTAGTCCCAACCACCCCAGTGTTCCCTGGGCCTGGGGAAAGTCCTGGCTGGAGGCGGGGATGCCACTGACCCAGACTGAACACTGGCGATGACTTTCAGGCTGGCAGCATTGCGGATGAGCTTGTCCAGCGTGTTGACGATCTGTGCAAACTTGGGCCGCAGGTTGCGGTCCCGCACCCAGCAGTCCAGCATCAGCTGGTGCAGCGCCGTGGGGCAATCCATGGGGGGTGGCAGGCGGTAATCCTGCTCCACTGCGTTGATCACCTGCGGAGAGACATGCAGAGGCATGCTGTGAGCCACCTGGGCTCCCATGGGCAGCCCACAGCTCCCCACTCCCCAGGGAGCACTTACATCCTGGTTGGACATGTCCCAGTAGGGTCGCTCCCCGTAGGACATCACTTCCCACATGACAATGCCGTAGCTCCACACATCGCTGGCTGAAGTGAATTTGCGGTAGGCAATAGCCTCAGGAGCCGTCCATCTGATCGGGATCTTGCCCCCCTGCACAGATACACAAGCTCCATTATTTAGCACATACCTGAGGTGTCTCCCCCCAACCCCAGATAGGTGGGTCCCCCACGAGTGTCCCATACCAGGGAGCTGGTGTAGGTGGGGTCGGCCGGGTCGTCCTCCAGAAAGCGAGAGAGCCCGAAGTCGGACACTTTGCAGACTAAGTTGCTGTTGACCAGAATGTTGCGGGCAGCCAGATCCCGGTGCACGTAGTTCATCTCCGAAAGGTACTTCATGCCGGCGGCGATGCCTCGCAGCATCCCTACCAGCTGGATGACCGTGAACTGCCCATCGTTCAGCTGCCAGAGGAGAGATCAGAGGCGTTTGCAACACCCCAAATGGATTGGGGAAGGATCCCAATGTGCTACCACCACCTTCCTCCACCCGAGAGCCACCCCTCTTCCCCACCCCACAATGTCTATGCACAGCTTAGCCTTGGGGGTGCCAGCACGACAATGCAGAGGGATGGAGAAGGAGGGCTCGGAGCTGCTGTCCCTCATGCGCTGCAGCCCCCAGCCCAGGGCAGGAGGGGATGGATGCTCACCCGGAGGAAGGAGTCGAGTGCGCAGTTCTCCATGAACTCCGTGATGATCATGACGGGGCGGCTCTTGGTCACCACACCCTCCAGGTGGATGATGTTGGGGTGGTCGAACTGGCCCATGATGCTGGTCTCGCTCAAGAGGTCCCGCCGCTGCCGCTCCGTGTAGCCTACCTTCAGTGTCTTGATGGCCACGAAGATCTCGCGGCGGCCGGGCAGCTTCAGGCGCCCACGGCACACCTCGCCGAACTCCCCTGTGGTGGGGAAGGGGAGAAGGGGGCGGCATGGTGAGCCACGTGGCTGGGTGAGAGGCAGTGGTCTCAGCAGCTGCTGTGCCCAGCCCTGGGACTTGCCTGCTCCAATGACCTCCTCGATTTTGACACAGGAGATGTCAATCTCTTTGGCGAATTCCCGAACGGCTTCGTTGGGGTCCTCATAGGTGAACGGGTCAATGTAGACCTTCATCCCAGGGGTGACTGCAAGGGCAGAGGAGTCATCACCGGGAGGGACGCAACACAGGTGACAGATGCCGAGCCAGCTTGGCCGGCTGTCAGCCCATCCCTCCTGGTCCCTGGCTAGCGAAGGCTGCCCCTTCACTTGCACACGGGGCAGGAATTGGGAGAGGGCAGGCAGAGCCCATTTGCTGGGCTCTCACACTCACCGTATTGCTGCAGCTTCTCTGTGTACTCGGGGTCCGTGCTGTTGCGTTGCTTCCTGCCCAAAGGAGACGAGAGGAGGTGTTCAGTAACCATCCCTTTCCTGATGAGGCAAAGACATTCACTGCCAGCTTCCAAATCCCAGCACAGACAGCCTATGCCAGAGAGCTTCCCCTCCGGCAGCCTGTGAGCAGAGCCATCCCCTCTGCCCGAGGTGCAATGGGAGAAGATGGCCTAGTTGTGCTGAGAGAGGATGGCAGGAGCCTGGGCAGAGCCCCAGCTGGTGCTGGGGAAGCAGAGATGCACGGTCCTCCCACAGGACCCGCGCTCTGGTACCCACGTGCGGCACGTCCAGTCTTTCGCTCTCGGACTGGAGCTACCAGAGCTCTACCCACAGGCAAGGGGGAAAGCTCTGGGGCAGACACGAGCAATCCCCAAACCCAGCTCTGAACCCCGCCTCCCTCCGAAGCCAGTACCTGAAGCAGACGATAGCGATGATCACCACAACGATGACGAATAGCAGCCCTGCAGTGGCCGAACCCACGATCAGAGGCAGCTCTTGGAAGGTCTTGCTCGTGGAGCCTGACGGAGGGAGAGGCAGGAATCAAAGTCAAGCTGGGGAAGGAGGATCACGCATAGGAGGGCTGGGGGA